AATTTTATTTATGACAATAACCAAGATTATTCCTCTCCAATTTTTGCACAATGTGAGGTTGCCTTTTTTTGGAAGCTTGATAATGTTACCTTTTTTCCAGCCCGCTGGAATGTGGTTTGTTTCCCACACCTCTCGGATTATGGGGAAGAAAATTTCAGCAGTTATATGCAAATCAGCTTTAAGTATTTCACCAGCAATGTTATCGATTCCCGGTGACTTGTTGTTTTTTAGAGATTTGATAACTGTTATTATCTCCGTTTTGGAAGGGGCCTCACAAGAAATGTGCGAGTCTATATTCTGCGGGTTTTCAACAATTTCATCTGCGTGATCTCTGGGAATACCTAGCATCTCCTGAAAATGCTTTTTTCATCTCTCTACTTGGTCATCTGTTGTAGTAAGCAATTCGCCTGTCTTGGATCTTACAATGTTCGAATAGTTGGACCCATTTTTTGTTAGTCGTCTAGTAATTTGGTAAAATTCCCTAGTCCTATAGTGTTGTGCAGCTGTTTCTGCTTGTTTTGCCAGTTCTTCGGCCCACCTTCTTTTGTCTCTTCTTGCTTTTCTTTTAACTAATTTATTTATTGTTTGATATTCCTGTTGTCGGTGTGTTCTTATTTCTACAGTTCTTGCTTGCAGGATATCTTTTTTCATTGTTTTCTTTTCTCGATATGATTCCATGTTTCATCTGATATCCATTCCTTTTTATCTTTCTCTTTTTTAACCAGTTTGTCTTCAGCTATTTCTGTCAAAATATCTGCGAAATCTTCCCAGCTATTTATTTCACGTTCTCTTGTTTTGAGTTGAAGTTCCTCTCTAAACATATGTCTTCCTGGGACCGTTTTTAGTTTATCTAGATTGTATGTTGGTCTCTTGATGTTTTACGTGATTTTGTTTTTGGTATCTTGATTTTAATGGTACCAATTACGAGGAGATCGTCACTTGCGATGTCTGTTCCTCTTTTATTCTACATCAAGATCTACATCTACATCAAGAAGAGAGGATCTCCATCTTTTTGATATAGCGATGTGGTCTATTTGATTTTCTCTTGTATGTCCAGGTGCAGTCCATGTTACTTTGTGAATATTTTTATGTGGAAAGATCGTTCCACCAATAACTAAACTATGACTGGAACAAAAATTTGTAAAGCGCTCTCTATTTTCATTCATCATTCCTAGGCCATGTTTGCCCATTACGGTTTCTAAGTTAATATTGTCTTCTCCAACTTTAGCGTTCATATCGCCCATCACTATTAGTATATGACCTTGGTTTACTTGTTGGGTCGTTGGTTCTAGTTGTTCGAAGAAAATGTTTTTCTCTTCGTGGAGAGATGTGTTTGTGGGAGCATAGCATTGAATCACTGTTATCTTACGGTATCTGGTATAAAATCTGGCATATCATTTATGGTTTTCCATGAAATAAGGCTTTTTTAGCTTGTTTACTAAGTAAAAGACCCACTCCGCTCTCGTAGCTCCCATTTTCTTTACCACTGTATAATAGGAGTTCTCCTGTTTGGGTATGGTGTTCAGCATTACCCAACCATCTTACTTTTTTTTTTTTTAATTGGCTTTAGGGTAAATACCCACACAGCCAGACACAAATTTTTAAAAAACAGATACAGGGATTACACAGGGATTACACTCTTCTCGCCCAGGGGCCGATCAGGGCATTTTTATAAAAGGTAGGCGTCGGACATATAGGTATGCATACATTAAGAAAAGACATAAGGAATAACAAAGATGGTTATATTTGTATATTTGTTGTTCTGACGAAAGACAGCAAACAATCGTAAATTTCTTTTTTTTTTTTCTAAAGCAAGAAGATGCAGTATATTAAATGGTCTTTCAATGTTTAATTTTAAAAGTTTACTGAAAAGCTCATTAGATTGAGCTCTATATTTTAAGCAATCAAAGAAGATGTGGTCAAGATCACCGATTTTTATTACAGGCTTCGCAAAGATCACTCTCAAGTATTTTTATTTTAAATAAATGTGCTGGATAACATGCGTGACCAAACTTCATTCTGCTGATAGTAGTTATACTTTTTCGACTGTAATCGTACTCATTGTACCAAGGTTTTCTCCTTAATTTGGTTTCAAGTCTGGTGTAACGTGTTGGATTTGTGAAGCTGTACTCTTGCCATAAATAGGACCATTTGTTCATCATTCTCTGTTTTGCTATGATTATTTGTTCGTCTGTAGTTAATTCGTAATTTATTTGTTCCCCCATTACTATGCTTTCTTTGGCAATTTGATCTGCAATTTCATTGTTTGTTATACCTGCGTGTGCTTTGACCCAGAAGAATTTTATATATTTATTCTGATCTTGTAATTGTTTAAGGATTGCTTGGATGCTAAAAATAATATCATTAGTTGTGTTTGAGTTTGATTTTAAAATTTTAAGAACGGAAAGTGAATCGGAAAAGATTATAGCATTCTGATCCTCTTCCTGATAAACATATTCTAGTGCTTTTAGAATTGCTATTGCCTCAGCTGTGAAAATAGATGTGTTTTTGTTTAACTTGTATTTTTTCTGTATACGTTTAGGTATTACGAAAGCGCAACCTGTACCATCGGTGTTTTTTGATCCATCAGTGTATATAGTGACGTAATTTGGATGTTCCTCTAAAATTTTATTTATGACTATACTATTTAATGATGCTAACTCCGAATAAAGTGGTATATTCACATCACAGGAAACAAGGTGATCAAAGTAGTCGGTCTCTAACTTTGTTTGTGGTTTTAATGCCACGTTTCTTAATCCATCACAAATAGGAGGAGAGTGTTTATGAATCCAAAAAGGCTTAGTTAGGTCGTATTCGTTTAATTTATACATGCTGCTAATGAATGAAGAGTTTTAGCGATTTAATAATCATTTTTTCAACTAAAAATGATCTTCTCAGTTCTAATGGAGGTTCGATTGCTTCAGCTCTTAACGGTTCAACTGGTGTAGATTTCATTCCTCCCAGACATATTCTAAGTGATTTGTTTTGTATAATATCCAGCTTACGTAGATTTGTTTTATTGGCTGTTCCATAGAGTGTACAACCATAATCAATTATTGATCTTATGTAAGCTTTATAGAAGAGTAGAGCTGTTTGAGGTTTTGCACCCCACCAAGTTCGCATAATGGATTTTAAAAAGTTTAGCCCTTTATTGCATTTTGTCTCTATTTGTTCAATATGAAGTTTCCAGGTTAATTTTCTGTCTAATGTGATTCCCAAGTATTTGACATTGGTATCCACCGGAAATTCTATACCATCTATTGTAATTTTCTGCATTGGTTTCATGTTATGCCTGGTGAAGATTATAACTTTGGATTTTTCTGCGGAGATTTGTAGCCCTAAATCACTTATGGAGCTTAAAACGAGTTTCGTGCTTAAATTCAAACGATTAATGCATTCGTCGAGATGTTTGCTAGAAAAGAATGTTAAATTTTTTTCGGCCATATGTCTTTTAATGTCATTTTGTTCTTTAAATTTTGGACATTGTTTGGAAATAGATTTATGTTCATAATTTTTACAATGTATACAATAACTGTCTTGTGGGTCTCTACAGTTATGATCATCGTTTTTCTCTTGTCCGCAGTTAATACATCTGGTTTGTGTACTGTTGCAATTACGAAATATGTGTCCATGTTGCAAGCATTTGAAGCATTGTATAACTCTATACACATAGGGTTCTACAGAACAGGCAACACTGTTTATATATACATATCTAGGTAAAATGTTTCCTTCAAAAGTAAGTAATACCATTTGTCTGGGGACATATACTTTTTCTCCATTTAAGTCAATTTTCCTTTTGAGTCGAGTGACTTCCGTTACTGTTATATTAGATATTATATTATCAAAAAGATATTGTTTATTAAAAGTAGTATCTACGTTTCTTATTATGCCTTTTCGTTGAAGCAAATTATTTGGGATATATGCTTTTAGTTGTTCCTCTTTTAAATTTTAATTTTGTACTAAATTATTTGCATCTTTCGGGCTTTTAACTTGTACTCTTACCCTATTCTTCCCTACTCTATCAATACTAAGAATATTCTTGATTGCTAATTTTTTATGTAAAATATGACCTACCTTCATAGGATGCAGTTTGCCAATATTTTCTTCATTTGTTTTTTCAATGAATACATATACCTTATCCGTATAGAGATATCCTTTTTGTAGATTAAACAGCTTAATTCCTTTTTCCTGTTTCTTGGTTTGTAGGCATTCTTCCACTTGGTCCATCTTTTGGGTCCCCCCTTTGTCAGGGGGGGAGTTTTCATCCATTTTTGTAAACTACCACTACATACACACAAACAAAAACAATAACAAACACTTAAATAAACACAAAAACTGGGTTTATTTGCCCGGAGCGAAATTGGTTTATTATTGATAGTCACAAAAAACTGGTCTTAGTCACTATTTAAGCACCTGTAAATATACGTGTTCTCTCTATGAATAATCGAACAAGACTGCGAACCATCTTACTTAATCTTATCATCTTACTTAAATATCATTAAAATCATTTTGGACAAAACAGTAGAAAAATTTTGTGTGGAACGAAACAATTGTCCTAACTACACAATATTTAACATTGGACAGTTCGAATAGTCCAGGAATTATTTCATGTAGCTACCGATTGAAAAAGCACTTCATCAGGTGACATGCCGATAGCCAAAGTTTGGAAATAAGCTTAGGATATGACTAAAGAAAAAGATTGTATAGTGTATTTTACAACCACTTTATCAAACATTTTTCTCAATTTATTTAAGTGTCCTTTAAGTTGATCTGCTATAGCTTTGCTTTCGGCCTACTCCGTGTTCAAAATCTTCTACTATTAAATAGCATAATTTTGTAAACGTTGATATTCTTATTGATAAGATAGCATTATTCTTCCGTATTTGTAACTACACCATTTCTATAATATGTGTTTCATGTTGTCACAAAATCGTGTTTTCTTCATTGTGCCATCGCTGGTATCCTATTTTGCTTCCTTGACCATGCACCTCTTCTGGACCATGTTGTTAGACCTTAAGGTTGGGTAAGGGGGTATATTAGAGTAACGTTTAGCTGCTTGTCCTATACACTGTACGGGCTTGAGTTTTGGAAGTAAATGATGGTTTGCGGGAGGTGTGATATGTTATGTTGTAGAGGGAGTAGAAATTGTCGGAACCAAACCAACAGGAGTAGCCAGGAGAGGCCGAGTAAAGACTAGACATTATTCTCCACAATTAACTACCAAATTTGGAATAAAGCAATCTATGATAAGATATTAATCATTACAAACCGATCTTAATAATTAATTATTTCGATTGATTACTATATGAGAAAACTGAAACTGAATAAGAATTCAAGTTATTGTTATTTTTTATTATATTATTAAAGGGTTTGTTTGATTAAATGGATATATCTCTTTTTTGATCTGATTCTCTTCCAATTATTAAGAAATATACCTACCCTAATTTATTCAGTATTCAGACATTTTTTAATCCCGTTACGTAGGTAATAATTTAAAACTGAATATAAAAAAACATTATACAGTAATCTTTGATTATAACAAATATTAATTAAAATTATGGAAACCTTTTCTATTGGTTGGTTGGTAATATCTTTATTTATCTGTGAATCATTTCATCTTTTATATAGTTTTAATAAATATGACCGTTTAAATTTTTTCAGTTTTGACGATTTTTAAAGAGATTTTATGTCCTGAAATATAAGTAAAAGTTTTTATATTATCCTTTAACTTATTGTCAGCTTGATGTATCTAAAACAATTTGAATTGTTCAATAATATTTATTTAAATATTCTCATCTCTTGGTATTTCATACTACTCGTTCACTCAATAACATTGGAAATGATATAATCTAACAAATTATTTGTATTTTAGGCTAGATTTCTTGGGGTCTTTTGTGAAAGCGTAACTTTTCAATATAAAAATGATAAATTAAATATATTTAACACACGTTGGTAAATTCCATTGAAAAACAATACATATATTACTATTAAACACAAATAGATTCTAGTCCTAGTAGTATAAGATAATACAAATAGTATCTACATTACAAATTTTTTATTTCAGAACGCCTAAATGTGTTATACGAAAAGAATTGGACAAAGTTGGTTACAGAGCAGTTACGAAGATTTGAAAGGGCCGTAGTCGAATCTAAAAGAATTACGGATCCTTCGGATATCGACATTCCACATTGGAACTTTGGAGAGGCTCTTTTATATTCAGTAACATTACTTACAACCGTTGGTAAGTATAAGTAATACAAATTTTAAATTTTTTATCATAATATATAATCAAGAAAATGCTTTATCAATGAGCAATATAAAAATTTTATAGATTTTGTATGATGAGTCACATCTGTCGATATGAACATGATGGCTACATATTTATATTTTTAATATACAAAACAAAACAAATAAAAAACAATCACAATCATATAATAAAGGTCATAAAAATATTGGAAAACTAAAAACGTTAATATTTCGATTAATAATATAAAAAATTTAATTGGATTTGAAATCTAAAGATTTTTGCTTCTGCATAACTACAGAAAATCGACAACTCGCTAAAATTATCATTATCATCATCAACCTTATTATCATCATTATCATCATTATCATTAGTGGCATTACAGCTCGTTATGAGCCACAGTCTTCTTCAGAACAATCCTCCATTTGCCCCTGACTTTCACTCCGAAAATCGTTTGAATAATCAGAATTGGATATCATACTGAGAGTAAAAACACCACCTTTTAGAATTTTTTACTAAAAACAGCTATTTGCTTAAACGATCGATGCCAAAGTAAGTAACTCGTCAAGTTTAAAATAACATTACTTTAAATACCTTTCTTACAAAACCATACCCTCAATATTTAACCTTGCCACATGCCACATGCCACAAGAAGACAGTTTTAGAACCCATTCTCTAGATTTTCTTAATACCTAGGTCTAGGCATTTCCCTAGCTCAATGTCCCATCGGCCGTTTTCGGTCAGAAACTTTTTTGAATCTTGCACCTTTCCCATGTCTGATTACATGCCTATGCATCTAAGGCGTGCTACCTTAATGAATTTTGCAACATCAGTTTCCACAAAGCTTCTAACTCAAAGTTGTCCGTATATTTATTTTTAAGATTTTTTGCTCAAAATTATTAGTGTTTTGTGGACGGTCACTTTAAATTTTCTGAGTAGTTTAGAGGCCAACTATCTTCGTAGTGTAGGAGAGCAATCTCATATTTTCTTTTTCTCTTGCAGCGCTTTTTGTATTATCTGTTTTAGCGTAGTTTTTGCTTTTTATTGTTTCTTCTAGTTCTTCCTCGTTTATTGAGTTTGCTGTCTTATCTTTTAATACATTGTTTTATTCTACATTACTGTCATCTTGGCTTATTTCCTTTAGCGGTTGTTCGAAGTGTTGTTTTCATCTTTTGACTATTTCTTTTGTTTTTGTTATTAATTCTTCATTTTTATTTAATGCCGTTAATTTTATGTTTTTTGAGTTCTTATAGTCCTTAGGGTACTGTATAATGGCTTTTGGTTACTTTTTTATCTTTTCATTTTATCTTCAAATTTTTTCCCATTTTTTTTTTGCTGCTGTTACTCATATTTTTACCTTTTTTTATTTTTCTAGTTATTGTAATTCTCGTTTGTTTTGTCATTTAGATATTGTTTCCATGCATTTTTCTTCACTTTTGCTTACTTTGTATGTCTTCGGACCGCCACGCTGACTGTTTCTTTGTTTAGTCTTTTTTAGGTGTTTCGCATACTTCCTTGACTGCATTTAGAAAGTTTGTGTAGTTGTTATATATTACACACACACACACACACACAATAATATTCTATATGCAATATTCTCATGCTGTATTAAAAGTAACGTTTGAAGCTCGTACTTTTCAGTAGCTATAGTAACGTAGACTTCTAAAACGTCTAAAACGTTATAATATGCGAGTCATCGAGCAAAAAGACAAAAGAGGGAATGTAAAGGTAGTGGGGGCAAAAATATTGTTAGACAGGAAGTGCGATCTTTAGAGGCCACATTAAACAAGAAAAGAGAGTCTCTCTCCATGTTTGACATTAAATTTAGTTGGGTTATGGTATTGTTTGTCATAAATGTCACATGAAATATTATTTATATTGAAGTTCTTAACAATTGTGTCGCATTTTAGACTATTATCGTTAATAATTAATTAAAAATTTCTCGTCTAAGACACATTTTGAAAAATATTATATAGCTACTGTTGATAAGAGTCGAAAAATTTAAATTTGGCGCATTCGCATTTCCGGATATGTCCGCCATCAGAGGCCACTTTTTTGGTCTCCTTTTCATAACGATTATATTCCCTCTTTTGTCTTTTTGCTCGATGATGCGAGTACGCATCTCCTGGGATACCTGACTTTAATAATGATATAGGCGACACCGTTTGAAGTCTGAAATCTTTAAGTGCCTGTTCTATGACCTCATTGGGTATGGATGGACAGACATTTGATATCAATATTCTCTTAGCTGGAGAAATTAGTCGTCTTATACTTAGCTCAATGGAATTTACAGTTACAGTGGAATGCTCTAATATAAACTGGTCTACAAGCTCGGTTCTTGATAAGTAAATACACACTCGGTTGTTTGAGATTTTCGATGCAAAACAAACATTTTTGGGATTAACGATGTTTCCAACTGATTTAACGTAGTTCAATAGGCAATCTCGTTTAAGATTGCAGCGCCATTGCGTATTTAACTCGAACCTTTCAAATAGACATTAATACATAACCTTACATTTCCCTGCTTAAAATCGTGTTTGTTTTTATTGAGTTATGGCAAAAAAATCGAATTATTATTGTTGTGTGCCTCAATGTGATTCTTGGATAAAGCGTGATAGTAATTTATCGTTTCATTCTTTCCCTAAAAAAGATAAACAAGATAGAGTTCTATTCAATGGCAGTTTAGTTAACAAACGAAACGTATGGAAATATCTTCTAAAAATGGGAAAAGAGCCTAGTCCGTATATGAAAGTGTGCAGTTTACACTTTAAAAATGAAGATTACTTTAAGGGTATGTTTATGAATTATATAAAGTAGCTATTATTAACAGGTAAATATTGTTATTTTAGGAGATAACTTGTCTAAACTGAGAAGATTGAAAAGATGTGCTATACCCACTTGTAAGTTACCACAAGTCAAAAAATTGTCAAGAGAACTCACCACTAGCTCTACCCGAGCTGAACGTTCAAAAAACCTCAAAAAACAAAAATTTAACCCAAAATGTGATCCTGAACAACCATGTATTCTAGATGATGACGTTTCCAATATAACAAATGAACCATCAGAGGAAGAAATTTTATGTGTTGATGCACTATTGCAATTAAGCAATGTAACAGTTAAGTCTTTTAAAGACTTTCAAGTTCAAGTCAACACTCCAAAAGTGGTTACGTTATCAGATATAATAACGTCAGATACCATGTTATGCAGTTTTACAGGATTGCCGAATTTCCAATTACTGGATGGTATAGTGTCATCAGTTAATGTAGTCTATAAAGACATTAGAAATCATAGACTAAATGTAAGACAACGAATAATTCTAACATTTGTAAAATTGAAGTTGGATTTAAGTTATGCTGTTTTATCGCCAGTGTTTGGTATTACTCAAGGTTTGTGTAAAACTTATATTACACAAATGATATGTATACTGGCAGAAGTACTTGAATGTTCTATATATATTCCTTCAGGTGAAGAATTACAAAAGAATGTGCCAATTTGTTTTAATAATTTTGCAGATACAGAAATGATTCTGGATTGCACAGAAATAAAAATGTATAAACCAAAGTGTTTGTGCTGGCGAATACGTTTCTATTCACAGTATAAAGGATCCGAAACCATAAAATTCATGACAGGGGTATCTCCTTCAGGAGTAATCACTTTTGTAAGTAGACCATATGGTGGTCGTACATCAGACAAAAGGATCTTTGAAGAAAGTCATGTAATTGAACAAATTAAGCCAGGCTCTGCAATTATGGTGGATAAAGGATTTTTAATTGATGAATTGTGTTTATTTCATAACATAAAACTCTATAGGCCTCCATTTTTACAAAAACGAAAACAACTAATTCGTGAAGAAGCAATTCAAAACTCAGAGATTGCAGCAGCTAGAGTTCACATTGAACGAACAAATCAGCGAATAAAATTATTTAAAATTTTGAGTAATAAACTTCATACTAATTTTGTCCCATACATACAAAATATCTTTATTATTATCTGTGCTGTGACTAACTTGTCTTCGCCAATATTGGCAAATAATAAATTTTTACAATAATAAATTCGTGGATTTCCAAATTCTGAAGTTTAGTCTGACTGATGTTTTCAAGGGTATTAGGAGTTTAAAAACTACATATTCTTCAGGGCCTGACAGTATACCTGCAGCACTTATTAAGAACTATATTTTTTCCCTTTGTAAACTGTTACAACAAATTTTCAATTTATCATTGTCATCATCTGTATTTCCACAATATTGGAAAAATAGTGTTCTTACACCTATCTATAAATCTGGCAATCGCGAGTGTGTTAACAATTATAGAGGTATAACTATTCAATCAGCAATCCCGAAACTTCTAGATAAATTGGTATTGATAAATATCACCTGGGCTTGCAGAAACATAATTATTGATGAACAACATAGATTCTCTAACAATAAGTCTACAGTAACAAAACTTGTCAATTACCAACAATACTTGTTGGGTGCATTTGAGAATAAAATTCAGGTTGACGGTGTTTACACTGATTTTTACAGGCCTTTGACCAGGTTAATCATAATCTTTTGGTCCACAAACTTCATGCATCAAGTTCGTATTAACAATTATATTTCGAAAGAATTCCATTGTTATTCTGGTGTACCACAAAGACCTCAATGTTTGTTTTTTAACTTGTTCATTAACGATATTGGTAAGGCTACCAAAAACTCACACTTCCTGCTATTTGCTGATGATCTTAGTTATTTCATTGTATACATAATAAATCGGATAGAGATCTCCTGCAAGATGATGTAAATAATATATGTTTATGGTCAAAAAAAGTGGTTTAAGCATAAATCCAACTAAATGTTCTGATATTTAATTTGGTTGTATAAATAATCTAATAGCTAATAGATAAGTTCTTAATGATGTACTCTTGGATTCAGTTACTAAGATTAGAGATTTGGGTGTATTATTTGATTGTGCATTGACATTTAGAAGCCATTTTCTTAAAATTAAGGAAACATGATTTCA